TCTCTTGACCCCCCCCCCCTAAGAACTCGCGAACGGTGTGTCGTATGACCACCAAATTTTTAGAGAATGGTGTACTAGTAAAAATTTATCATATCTACAATTTTTATGACGTAATATGACGTCATTATGACGTCATTAATGCGATTTTTTGGGCCAAAACCGTCTAAATAGGTTTTTCCCTGAAAACTAAATGGTATTCAACATAACTGTACCAAATGTGTTTATGACAGAATATTATGGTGTACTAAGTCTTATGTTGCCCATAGCAACACCGGTGACGTCATAAAATGACGTCATGCATATTTAAGATATCCGCCATCTTGGATCATCAATCTTGAATTTTCAAAAATAGTTTTTTTTCATGATAAAGCCTAAAATACATTGTAAACATACTAAAGACCTTCATTAAACATTTTTTGGAAAAAGAAATGGAAATATTGATGAAATTTTAATGAAAATAACTTGTATATACCTGTTCTAATGATATGGTCCGCCATCTTGGATTTCGGCCAATGACGTCATCAAATTAACATAAATTATGCATATTTAATGATAAAATTTACATAAAATTATATGGGATGTTGTTAATATTAGAAACCATGAGTAACTTGACATAAAACCAATAAAATTCTATTGTTGAAACAGAAAGTACTAAATTTAGCAAAAAATGCCTGTCAGAAACCCGTTTCCATGGCAACACAAAAAATTATTATCTTATTCCAATGATAGAGAATTGTTGCCAACAATATTCTAGGAAAAGTCACCAAGTTTAGCCGTTTTACGGCTAGCCGTTCAGACGCTAGGTGACATCAAAGTTGGCGCGGGCACTTTTAGCCCCCCCCCCCCCGGTCTAGGTAGGGTTAATCGTCAATAGATAATGATAACGATCAGTATGTGGGCAAACCAGTCCTACCTTTAGATCTATAACTTAACATACAGGCAGACACGTACGGGCACAAAAGTATAGTTCCTGGAAAACTGCGAGACTCGTCCGTTTTGTCATACAGCTAGGCATATTCAACTTGTTAAAAGTCGTTTATAAAGCTGCATACGTAACCAGGTTATTGTCTAGACGAGCTCCAGAGACATTCAAGAACACTGGTAAACCGATCTGTGTCTTCTTGACTTTGATAATAGTCGTGAGAAATTGCCCTTGGCTAGGAGAATATTCTAACCATTGTTCAAGTTACATACACGACTTGCAAACATTTAAGAAATCAAGTCAGTTGGAGCAAGGAGGTTTAAAATCATGTACTGAATTCGAACCTCCTTCAATGGTTGGATATGCTGTTTTATTCTGTATTCATGTCTGGTTTGCTTAATTTGCATAAAGAGCCATAGAACCATGATGTCTCACCTGGACCATAGTACGACTTACCTTAAAATGATCAGGGGACATCTTTCTATGGTAGTGGCCAAATTATGTAAGAGGTGTGCTACGACACGAGTTTTTGCAGGCTTCTCCTCCTGGACTAGGGACAAAATATTCTAACTTGTGACCCACTGAATCCTTAACAATCGCAGACAAGTCCGAAACCCTCAGGCTAAGCCCAACCCGCTGTCTGCCGTTACCGTATCCCATTCGATATTCCGCTCATTTGAGGCCTTTGTCTGGTTCGCGCGGACCAACATACCGCGCCTCGAGCTCCGTCACGTCCAAAAATAACGAGCACTATCAAATAACAATACACACAGAATAGTGGCGGGTTGTGGGAGAGGTGAGTTGTATCGGAAACAAAGTAAGTGGGAATGTGCCAAGTTTTACAGTTTGGTGTGTGTGTCAAGATCTTTTCTGTACAGATGTGTGAAGTGTGCGAACTTCTGGGCTTCATAAGTTTATGATTTTGTTGCCATTGGTGCCGATACGGTGTAGATGTAGGGAAATGCACGCTTTGGATCTTGGCGCGAGATTCGCTATGTTTGAGATTCGCTGAATGTCGTTTGGCAAAACAGTTGCAGGCAAAGCTGTAACTTACCCAAGTAAATGTCAATATTTCCACTTAAATGACTACTTTCTGGGGACAAACGCTGGGGCTCGGGTGGACCAAAAATTCGCCCGGGTGCTTCACTTCCTCGTCCATGTTTAACGATACGCGGGTGATCATGAATAGTCATGGCACCTGGTCCAGTGTTCGAGTCCAAACTGGAGACCCTCACCTGTGTTAACGTTTTATAGCCGTCTGTGCCCTAGGACTAGATCGAACCAACCAGTCCGTTTTATGAAGCTTGTACCTACAAATACCAAAGTATATGTACGTATCCTTGAATGTGTATGTTGTGCTATAATGTTGTTATAACTCGCTTTGTAAAGTCTACATATTTTATGATAAAAACCATGAACAGGATGTCTGGTTCAGTATAAACCCCACCAGGTCCAGTGACAACAGTGCCACGAATTCGGCGTGTACGAAGCGGATCTTATCCCCATTGGGCCAGCAAGAAGGGGTCACATAAGGTCAATTAAGGGCATCGGAGGCGGGAGTTTGCGCTTCAGACCCGCTAAAATTCTGGCTGTTGTGACGCCTGACGACCACCGGGAACTTCAGTCGCTACTTGTTATGTAACCTTAAGCTTGCAGGAGCCATTGTTTCCGCAACAGGTGTTAGACTGAGTCAATATTATATTTTTAAAGTGAGGGTACTATGTCTGAACGTTTGCGCCTTAACTCCTTAAGGGTGCACGTAATAAGAACTTGGTCCGCCACGCCTCGTTGACGTCGATCGATCAACAAGTAAACTTAAACGTGCCAACGACATACGAGACGACGTTCTACGAGGTACGATTTCTCAAGACAATTCAGCGACCGTATCATTTACAGGAGACCAGACGACCTCGTGCCATGGAGGTCCTTTCTTTATATGTAACGCAAACAGATCGGGCGTACTTGTGGTATAAAGTCTTGTTGTGCTTAATCCTTACAGTCTTATGGCCGCACCGGGGTCGAGTTCACCGGCTACAAGGAGATAGTAACCGACCCAGCCAAAAACTATGACAATATTCTTCTCACTCAGCACCTCAGTTTCTTTGCACATAGAGCTGGTTTATCATTTCGGCCATAAACGTAGGAAGGTCAATGGGTATACGTAGAGAATTCCAGGTATCAGTCATCGTGAAATAATTCACCCCCATGAAGTGGGATCCGGAGGTGTTTGTTTTTAGTCTGGATGATGTTTTGGTGTATACCGCAAGATCCGCGTGTGATGGAATGCGTTGATATTTGGCATGACGGTAGGTGGGGTAAAGTAAATTATGTAGGTTGACTTTGGGCCCCTGGTGATTGACCTTGGTACTGCAGTAGGAATTTTTCAAAATATATTTGATGCCGGTCTGTGGACGTGATGTTAAGGTGGCATATAGTTGTAGAGATAAGGGTTTAGTTAAATTTGGGCCCCTAGCTGTTTGCTGTGGATCTGCAGGGTCGTTTGAATTTCGATTCTCTTGAGTCTAATGATCTCAAGAACCACCTGATGGATTGTGAAAACCTTTGGTACGTTGGTAGTCGCTGTGTGCCTTTGCGTTTTAGCATGCATTAACAGGTTGTTGTTTTACAATAGAGCAGTCTGGCCTGACTTTTGCTTTGCAGGCCACTGACCTCAAAATCTATTTTGGTGAATGTGTGCCTGTACCTTTCCTCTTATCATGCATGACGCCCAGACTTCCCTGTACCTAGCAGGGATGTGTGCCGTTAAAAGTTATTACTGGTATGTCCTTGGTAGGCAGAAGTGATATGAGTGAACGGAACTATATATTTGTTATGTTACTTGTATTATGCTGCTATATTGAAATGGATGTAGCTAGATTATTAACCGCATCATCACTCTGGTTTTGCATATAATGGTACATATTAGACACTGGGCATGCTGTTGTCTTCTTCTTTATGTAACCTAGAACTCTTTTCACTTCAATTGTTTTCAAAAGCACTAAATATTTCATGGGGTTATGAGATCTTTGAACTCTTCTTGTTTTCCCTCTTTTGAGTTTCCAAGGAGGGACAGCTGGGTCTGTTTTTCCCTCCCTTGTTCCCTTACAGAGCAGCGCCTTCTTGCGCTCACCCACACTACTGCAGCACTGTTTTGTTGCCTCTTTATTAACCCAAAAATTATAAACTGACAGACAATAAAAATGAACAAAACCACATTTAATATGCACTGTTGAAGACAGCACAAAGTACGATGTATAAATAATGAATATCAAAATAGATGCTGACCTGAGTTTTGAACAGAGATCAATCATTAATATTCTGTCATTCCAAACACGTAGTTCTCCCCAAGTTCTCCCATAATTAGACATCTCTATACAAGCCACAGAATGCTATTCCTGCATAGAACTGATCTTTTCTTTAACTTGAAAACCTGACTGGCAAGCCTAACGAGATGCAATCAATAGGAGACAAAGATAGATCAGTCCGTGTGACCGCGTCGGCCCGCACCACGCATACACCGCACCAGGTTTACAAGCCAATAGACATCTATTTTCTACCGTACTCTTCCAAATATTTGCTCATCTCATTCCTGAATATTGAACACCGGTCGCGATCAGCTCTTCCTTGTGTGGGTGTGCTTACCCAGAATTTTATACTGAAGACTACCGTTTGAAAAAAGAGATTCTGCATCTTATTTGAATGCCTGCGAGATTTTGTTTCACGGGAAGGGGCGTGTTACAAATGTACGTGTCCATTAGCGCGTAGGCCCATGTGCACCTGCCCATGTAAAACCGTGCGATACCGCGAGCATATAAATATCTAATTACTGCGGGTTTGGCCGAGTCTGTGGGCAAAATCTTGAATCTAAGAATCTCAAAGCCACCTTCTTTGTCTTCATACATGCTGGTTTATAACGTTTTGCCCTGAACACAAATCTAACTGTCAAATACCTCGAATCTCACACCTGCAATGGCGTGCTAGATTCTTCGTCTCAGCGGTTGATTACTTCCATTACAACACGGTGCCTGTGTTTGAATAATGCAGGTCTCAGTAGTGCTGAAAAAGCACTTTAAAAGTCATTAATTTGCACATAATAATACCAATGAATACATTTTTAGGCCAAAGAAGCATTATATGTAGGTAGCGTTGAAATTTATGTTTCTCATTTCATCTGTACTCACTTTTGGTATTTGCTCCTCTTGTTTTACTTATTTCAATATTGCCCAATAATTACGATAGCTTCTAGCTCTGTTCGTCGTCTATCTAGCTGCACCCCCTCCCCCATTCACCCTTCGGGTTTACCTTGACTATCTCTCGGGGGAAATCAATGGATAACTCGTGCCCAGCGCACTGCTCGCATGGACGCAGACGGCTGCATATGCCGGCTTGTACCGCCACGCTGCATGTAGTACTGCTTGCGCATCTGTAATGCTTCAGGAAAGTACGGTTCGTATCGGTTAGAAATAGTGCTTTTGAACCGTCGGATGGTCTGTATTTAACCAGAAGCAACTGGGGCACTGTTAAAAGGTATGCACCGTCTGTTCCGTAATTAGGTAGAGCAAAAGTGGGTCAGTAGCGTGCCTCATTGTTAGAGGTGTCAAACATAGTTTATTGTAGTATTTGGGGACAGATTTTTATTGTTCATCGAGGTTACATCTGTCCATTTAATTCTGCACCATTGCTGTTTATCAATACTTCTGTATCTCTGAAATCTAACGTGTCTAAATTTCCTAACTTGCTCCTGAGTCTATGGACCATACTGAAGGATCAAAGTTTAGAGAATAGCTTGGTGTCATATTGATCCATAAATTATTTGCTGACCACTCCCTACCTGCAACTGTTCATCTCATAATCTCCGTCCTCTAAATTACTCTTTTCCTATTGATAAAAATGGTTACTGAGTGCAGTTACGCCACCTACTATGCATAGATGTATCAGTTTCGTTCCTTCTTGGGCGTTAGTATTACAAATCCGCGTCCGCATAATCTTGCATTCAGGTTGTTAGATACATTCTTAAGCGCTTTTGACGAAGCATATATTGTGTTATCCTGATTTTTAAATAGATTTGATGACTCTATATCAGTTTAGTCTAATTATTCTGACTATTGACGCCTGATTTGTACACTTGTACGCTACAGATAGATGTCGCTTGGTGAGATATGACGTCAGCTGAGAAGAGGAGGGGCGGCATGGAGAGCACGAGGAGGGTGGCGATCATCGGGGCGGGGGTGAGCGGGCTGGCCTGCATCAAGGCCTGCCTGGAGGAGGGGCTCGAGCCGGTGTGCTTCGAGCAGCATGACGAACTCGGTAAGCGGCACCGTTTTTTCAGCACCAAGGACAGCAGAAGGGGTTAGGAGCTATATACAGTTATGACATCATGTATTATGACGTCACCACTTATCGAAGACGTGCAAGACAAATCGTTTGAAATTTCTTGCGTGATGCTGTCTTGTCTGTGACGCTTGCTGGATGGTCTCACGGGGATTGTCTCTTAACTTTGTGTAACTCTGTCTCTTATATATGCAAATATCTGCTTTCAAGTTTTTTTTTCTTCATACCGCTCCTCCACATACTATTCTACATACCTTCTCTCCCCACCTTCGCCACTATGGTAGACTTTGCTAGACAAATCGTACACCAGAACGTAAACCCCGTCCCCGGCCTCCCGTTAGGCAATCGGCGCGCCAATTCATAGGTCATTTTGCGATACTGATGGCAGGGCACTGTCGGGAGTAATTGCGTTTCAGCGCCATGCGGGGACGCGCGCTTATCGCGGGCGAATCAATACCGCCAACCCGCACATGAATCCACGGTCCGCCTGACAGAAATAAGTCTGCACACGGAGTGCCTCCGATACAGTACACAGGACGTTTGCTTTTAGGTGTCAATAGAGCTCGGTTGTAATCATTTATCAACCAACGCCTTCCTAGAACTCGTCTATCGATTTATTCCAGCTATAATCTACTTGGCCGTGCGCGAGCATTAATTCGGTCCGATGGTCTCCTGAAGGAGGCTCATATGCCCTTTAAACGCCCCATGTATTACCCGTTTACAATATTGTATGTATGAAATGGTGCAGCAAATTTAAGTGCGTTTCTATGAAAGAGATGGCAATTTATACAATATTCGTTATGCATTTGCTTGGTTTCATTTTTATCTCATTTACAAATATGACATAAACGTGTTCTGATTTATGATTAACATGGATTCTCCACTATTACGGGTAATTCTTGTTTCTCGATTGATGAAAATGCGCGTACTACATTTCTCAGATGCAATATCCAATTCCATTAACTCTGTAACACAGAACAGACGCCACCTCACCCAGGATTAGTGCCATTATCTATATTCATTCCCCTCTGCCACAAACTCGATCTAATGCAAATGTTGTGCATGCATAATGCTTTTCCTACGCGGCTAAATGAATTTGGTGTACTTTGCTCGGTTTATAATACTCAGAGACCAGACCAGTTTAATTCGCTGTTTGGTGAAAACCTAATATATTGGTCTGTAATATATATATAGTGAATGTTGACATTGCACTGAATCTCTCTATATGTTACTTTCTAATATACATGTTTTATATGAATTATAGTCCATAACATCAAGCTAGGTGACTGATATTTGCCTAAGATTGTGTGTAGGGTATGTTGTGGGGGGAGGGGGCGTGATGTACAGAGAAAGGATCATGTCAGCGCTTTAGCTTTGCTCTTAATGATACAGAAGCCCTATCGTGACAGGAATATTGATAAGATACCATCACTCTAATGTACACGTAGCTTTGGTGTTTGATAAATGTGCGTGAATATACCTGTAAGCGCGCATAGAGGGATAAAATTGTGACAGCCTTGCCACTTAACATGGTAACAATTGACGTTGCATTGCTTGAAAGCATAAGGAAAGAAAATTCATGTAATTAGACAAATACAATATACGTACTGAGACGAAGTCTGATCAAATGTGATGAAAAAGTAATTATGTCATTTCTATGAGTTTAAACTTGTGACTCTTGTTGTGTCATTTCTATGAGTTTAAACTTGTGACTCTTCCATGTAGGAGGAGTGTGGTACTACACAGACGAGCCGCGGCCAAACCAGGGGGCGACTATCTACAAGTCCCTGGTCAGTAACAGGACAAAAGAGATGATGGCCTTTAGCGACTTCCCTCAGCCGAAGGAGGCGCCGCCCTTCCTGCCGTACACACAGGTTCACAGCTACCTGCGGGAGTTCGCCGACAAATTCCAGCTCATGAAATACATCCAGTTCGGTGTGCAGGTATGTAAGAACTGAGATTATCGTCTGACAATAGATATATAGGGACGGCTCATTGATGATAGCATGGGAGGGGAAAACCCCGAGAGAAGCTATGAATTTTGGCGGTTTGGTGACGTTTTTAGCAGTTAGCAGTTTTTTAAAAATAAATCAGTGGAGCAAACAAAAATTAGATAAATTAAAGGAAACCAACCACAAGCTCGCTTTTGACGCATGTCATTCAGACGTTGTCTAATGATGTAGTGTAATTAATTCACTTTATGTTCACGGCCTGAGAAATGGACATGTTCGAATTCACGGAACTATATGTTCACGGTGACGACAGGTGCAGGAAAAAGATAGCCGAGGAATTATTTGTTAACGCTAATGATAACTTCACGGTACAAAAGTGACCGAGAAAACGTGAACATAAAAGTACCATGAAAAATTCAGAATCATAGTATACTCACTAAAGTACTATATGTCTCGTCCCAGGTTCAGCACATTTGGAGGGCCGAGGACTACACCACCTCGGGTAAGTGGATGGTGCGCACGGCACCGGTCGCCGCCGACAACAACAAGAACACCTGTCCCCAGACCAGCCTGTTCGACCGCGTCATGGTGTGCAGCGGCCACTTCTCCAAGCCCTTCGTCCCGAAAGTGCCCGGGCTTGAAGAGTTTACTGGAGTTGTCGTGCACAGCCGTGACTACAACGGCGCAGAGTCCTTCAAGGGACGCAAAGTCATGGTAGTCGGTAAGCAGTCCTCTCTGTCTATTCCTTTCTCACTTATAAGACGTAATTTTCAAGATGTGGTTGTCTTACGGGGGTACATAATAAGGGATAGTTGTTGTGATAAATTTAAGAGGAAATTTCGGTGAAATTGAAATACTGCGCGAAAATCTACGATAGACAAAATGGGTAATTCCGGGGGGTTGTTTGGTGGCCAAGTGTGCGAGGTTCATTTTTTTTCGCATGCACTCATTTAGCTCACAATACCGCATGCACCAATTAATGCTGTTAGTTTTCTGGCGTTTTACTAACGTAAAATTCCAAACTCTAACATTTGACTGAGTTTACAGATGAGATGCGGCGAAAGTTTGAGAGAAAATGGCAGTGGGTTACTTATAACGCATTGGACTGCTGATACGAGATGCTTTGTTTTGACTACCTTACTACTTTGCATACAGCTGGGTTTAGAGGGGGGGTTGCAACATTCAATGCTGCGCCGGAGGAGGCAATACGACAGTAAACTGGGAATCTTGCGGTCTGTTTACAATCCGGCAGAGGGCATATGTATGGATGCCCTCTTTGTATTCTTGACGAAACATGCACTGTTTGTTGTCCAAATCAGGCGGTGCCAATTCAGCCGGCGATGTGGCTGCAGAAGTTGCCCAGGTCGCGTCTGTAGTAAGTACAGCATCAGCTGGCCTTCGACACCACTCTAGACTTACCTTCTACACGTCTCACAAAATACAAAAAATGAGACAAATTCTTTATTCTCCAACAAGATATAGCACTCTTATTTTGTATGTTTTCTTTTCTTCGAAATTCATGAAATTTTATTGGGATTTTAATTGATAATGGGATTCATGCAAAAAACTACAACTTTGGTGTCGGTTTGGCTGGTTTGAAGATACGCGTCGCAGTTTTGTTCTAACACTACTCTGAAAGAAGTTTGAACCATATAAACTTCTGGTATCGGGGGTCTTACACATACCTGTGGGTCACATAATTGCAGTGGTGGAATTACGCATTAATGCATTATGGACAATCAAGACCAAAAATATAATTTCAACTAGTAAAAGTAATGTTCAAGATTCAAGGTTACGCTTTGAAAATATAACACCAGACAACGTTACTTAACTATTTATATAGTAAGACAGATTTTGGTGTTTGACATATACTAATACTTGTACATGGCAATTTGATAACGCCCAACAGGATATGACCCTCCTAGCTAAAACTAATGCACATGCATCCTTATATATCACCAGTGGAATATATATAAGGCGGTGCTCTCTTTGCAATTCCTTTGTTTCTATCAGACATAAACGTAAGGTAACTTTAAGACACATTGTGTTCGACTCAAGAATGTGCATAACGATTATAAAACTCTAGATTCAGACACATTTTGCTTTTATTGGGTCACTTGGGACGTCATAGAAACTAATTTATTTCAACAAAATGTCGTAGTTATACGATGTTATGAGATGACCGATAAGATGTCCAATGAAATGGCCATATGTTAGCGCCAATGTGCCATATGGTGCGTGCGCGTGCGTGCGTGTGTGTGTGCGCGCGTGCGTCCGTGTGAGTGTGTTTGTGTGCGTGTATACATGAATGATGTACATTATTATATCATACAATGTATAAGCATATAAGCAGGCATGCATGTGAGCTGCAGGTGGTGGTGGTGGTGGGCTTGCAGAATTGCTCCTTGATTACTACATTTATTTTTATGACAACATGGGAGACACCATACGATAAATTAGACTAGAACCCGGCAAGAAAATAACTTTTAATCAAAACTGTACACTCATCAATATTGTCTCAATATAGAAACAAAATAATAGAGTAAGACTGTATGAAACATGTGTACATGACGTAAATGATAGTAAATAAAAAGCCCCATATGCACAGACTGTATATTTTGTTCTCCCTGTTCAGGTTTACCTGAGTGTGCGGGACGGTATTTGGCTGGTTCCTCGGCTGGCACAGGGAGGGAAGCCGAGGGACTTCTTCATCCAGCGGGCCCGGCTCAACCTGCCTGAGTGGCTGAAGAGAATCCTCCTCAGGCGCCAGTGTAACGCCTGTGTGGACCACGCCAACTACGGACTGCAGCTGGAGGGGTGTAAAGACCCCATATATGGCTCAACAATGATCAATGATGAGATGGCGTTCAGACTGGCCACGGGAAAGGTAAAAAAAACACCCTGTATCAGCAAAAAAAAAACCCAGCAGACCCTAATCTGCAGTTGTAACCTCTACAATTCGCAAAAAAGTCCGTGAAAAAAGTCTATTTGGGACTGCAGATTGTACAAGGCTCGCATGGAGTTTTCCAACATTGTCTATTGGTCCTCCGAAATACCCAAAATATGTATTTTCAGATATCAATCGATTTCTGTCACCATGATGCAGCCCATTTTGTTTGCTGGTCGATTGCAATTCCTAGTATTTTCTCCTATTGTTTTGTTTTCTTCCCATGGGTATATGTTTTCCGTGCGTGTACCTTATTTATCAGAAAACTACTAATCGATGTGTACACGTATAAGTGTCTTTAGGACGATATAGAATATTGATGATATTTGATGGTTTATTTTCCAGGTTGTGACGAGGCCGGTGGTTGAGAGGTTTACCCGTACGGGGGTTGTGTTCAGTGACGGAAGCAAAATTGACCACCTGGATGCCGTGGTCTTCGCTACAGGGTACAACGTCGCCATTCCCTTCATAGAGTCGGACATCCTCCCACGTAAGGACAGCGTTTATGTCTTAGGACAGGTTAATATGATTATATGGATGACATCACTGGCAATACCAAAACTGATGCGAGCGTGGGAATAAAAAAAAGTTTGATAAAATAAGTTGCATTCATTGTGAAATCTACGTGCATGGTCATGAAGGTCAAACAAACAGCCTATAGTATGGCGAATAATATAATATGCAGTAAAGATCATACTGATTTCAGACCTTATTTTCTTACACTTTGTCATGTATTGTAATTTCTAGTGTATTCAAATTGTATAACTGTAACTTGTTTAATTGTAACTATAATTTATTCTTTTTATTGAAGGACTTGTACTAGATTCCAGTGCATTTGTTCGTTTTCTTGTATCACGTCTGTACGTTTTGTGGGTCAGTCGTTAGTTCTGCCCGAAATGACCCTTGTAATGATCTTTGACAATAAATTCTCTGTTCCCAGGTGATGTGGGAGACCTGGAGCTGTACAAGATGATGTTCCCGGCCCGCCTGCCCCACTCCACCCTGGCTGTGATAGGCTGTGTGGGGACGATAGGACCCATCTTCCCCGTCCTGGAGATACAGTCCAGATGGGCTGCCCGCGTCTTTTCCGTGAGTCTACATGCCTGTCTTTTACATGTAGCGTGCTCAAGTGTTCTATGTTCAATTATTCGTACTCTCCAAGCAGTGGTTTTGGTTTTGGTTTTGGTTTATTTTTGGCGAGTTTTTAGGCTTTATTATCGGGCTTTCTTTTTTGCACTGGTATCTTTTTTACGCGAACGCAACAATAAAGAAAGCCCGAGAAAAAAGCCTTAAAACACGCCAAAAAAGGCAAAACCCAAACCTCTGCTTGGAATATTATTTGTACTTATTCTGTATTTACTAGTATCAGCCGACTACAAGTAAAATTGTACCAGTGAGAGAACCAAGTCGAAGTCTGTGGACGCAAGGTATACTCAATACAAGAGTCCTGTTTGTTATACGGAAAAACTATTAACAGATGTGTATACAGCATTTAATAGACCAGTGTTTTATCAGTTGTTGCTAGCGTGAACTACAAGCATCTGTTTTCCTATCACAGGGACATTGTAAACTCCCTGACCCTCCGTCTATGCAAGAATGGCTTCGCAGCAACAGGGAAAAGTGTAGAAGCAAGATCGGGCGTGTATCGTTAATGGTAAGCCAGATATTTGATATTAGGTACATGTACGATGGGGCCGTCCGTGTGATGATTATCATATAATTACACTATTGGTGTCGTGCTGTTTATTATGTATAAATATCTTTTGACAGCACGTCGGTAGAACGTACTGCTTCCTGCGAACCCTGTAATGTATTGTGCAGAGCACTTCGACAGAACGGATAATTGTTATTTACTTCCACTTTTCAGCATATTTGTGCAATCATCTCACATTTTGACATTCATGGTTGGCACTAAATCAGCCCACAAGAGGTGTGTTCAGTTTGTTGTGCCACCACAAACTTCCAGAATGTAAACAAACATATGGCTGACAGCTTTGTTTCAAGCTTTCAAACACACTTGTAAGCAAGGAGGTTCAATACTTTTAAGTATTAAAAGGCGTCCACTCCCTGAATGCGGATGATTCAACCTACTTTAAAAAATGATCAAATTTACCTTTTGTGTCGTTCTAATGTTACATAATGCAGATTTAAGGCCTTCCCACATTTTTCTCAACATCTTTATTCCTGTTCTCCCAGGTGTGTACCCTCCCGTACTGTGAGGACATCGCTCAGGAGATCGGCGTCAGGCCGAGTTTCTGGCAGCTCCTTCCCCGCGACCCTTACCTCGCGTACCTGGTGTACTTCGGCCCGGCCTTTCCCACGCACTACCGCCTGGTGGGCCCGCATCGCTGGGCAGGCGCCGCCAGGCACGTCAAGCTAGCCGTGGACAACACCTACTCCGCTACCAGGAAGTCTGAACACAAACCCGAGCACGGCTTCAGCAGCAAGGTCACCATCGTCAAGGTCATGTTCACGTCTCTCTGTGTCATCGCACTTGGTATTGTTATAGGGATAAGCTATTGATAAGAATCGAAATGTTGGAACAACCGTTATGAGTATGGCCTAAACAAGAAATTCAAATTACGCAGTAGCATGGAAGAGGTGGGTAGAGTAGTTTAAGGGTTTAGGGACAGGTAAGGAATCAACAGAATTCTATTTTGTAATCCATAATATAAGAACACACATGCAGCATTGTTGTTGTCCCCAACAGTAATACAAGCGATTACTGTTTTTGTTTACATTATATACATGCAAATTATTGGTAAGCAAATCAGCCACCCCGCTTTTGGTCTACCACTAGCTGGAAATGGCGATCGCTGGAATTCTATTGGCCATGAGAGAACGTTTCTCTGTGCGTGATCCTGAGTAAGTTTGTTTCATGTTGAAGAGGTTGAGACTGACCAAGTATTGATAGGATTCGGATTAAAGCTAAAGCTCGGTGCTTACTTTAAAGCCGGATATCTTCTTCACGGATAAATGGAGTTATGTTATTCTGACTGGATATGCGTACGATAACAATGGTGTAATACAATGTGCTAGTAACGCCATGTTGTTTTGGTGCTACCGGCATAGTAGGGTGGGTAAACGTTATAACTGGACCCCCCCCCCCATCTGTACCAGATGTTATGTTAATATCATATTATGGTTGACGTGTGTACCACAGACGTTTATCAATCTGATATTCCACAGATACTTATGTATTATCAGGAAATACGATTCATTAATTGAGGCAATTAAAGTCACAGCCATAAACTGGCTACGTGCTGTTTAAATCTGCATTACATCAAAGTACATTTCTGCTTTTCATTTAGTATGAAAATGCAAAAGTGCATTTACCTTGATTACCTTTACTCTCTACAGTTGTTTTAGCTACATTTGTGTAGGTATTGTTGTGAGTGTGTTTAGAAAAAGCCCATATGCACATTGCCATTGGGCAGCATATTTATACTCTAGACAGTGTGCGATTGTTTGAACCACAGACTGTTAGTTACACATACATGTGTTACGTTTGGTCAACTTATAGATGCGACCAGAATAGCACATCCTGTATTACACTTTTTCAGTTCGTACAATTAGGATAGGAGATGTGGTTTCTGCAGTTAGATGTTTACACGTCAGGGTAGGTAAACCATTGAAACTGGTTCGTATTAGAATGGGCAAGGCTTTACTGCAAGTGCAACAGGTATTGTATATGAAGGTAGTTTTGAGTTAACGCGTCACACGCAAGCAGCATTCGATACATCATGACGTTGAACACACATACAGTGAACGAAAATTACATATGGGATTTCTATACTAGAACAGGATATCTGCACGCAGTGTGAAAACACCTTTTATCGTTATAGATAGGATAATATCAATGTTTTGTGTTGAAGAATTTGGACTTCTGTGAAGGGTGCGTAGTACTGGACCATCATGATAATGTTACGTACAATTTCTATAACAAATTTATTTTCTGTCGGTACCTGTAGCTGACTTTACAAAAAGGTGGCTTATGTTATACATCGAGCACTGGTTAGATTGGAGGTTACTATCACGGCACTGTACGTACTTATATGTATCACCTTTTGAACAGGTTATGACGAAGATCTGAGCTCTGCATCTGATGACTCTCCCTCTGTGAAGATTGAATATCAACTGAATAAAAATGGACCTTTTCACAAACAACGTGACTCGAGTGTTTCTGTGTAGCATGTATGACCAGTCATGATATGTTTGCATTGTAAGACATTCCAGTCTATACATGAATTGCATGAAAAAATGAATGTAAAGCACTGTACGTTAGCGGATAGAATGATATTACACACTATATGGTCTTCACTGGTTGTGACTACGACGAGTACTTGTACAGTAGTTACATCACTTTTCTTGCGCTAGATATTCTACACATGACTGATGAAAGTGTCTGGAAAGAGTACATTTACAAAATGTGTTTGTACACACAGTGTACATACATGTCAGTGTTGGCACATTTATATAACGCGCATACATGTACATGTAATCACCTCTTTCTACAGTAGATGGACCAAATGCACTTCGCGGTCCTCGCTTCGCACTCGACATCATTTATACGTCGATACTTACTTCACTATTGACTAAGTAACATGGCACTTACCTGTATAAATTATTGTACGACCTATCATTAGCAAAGTGGAGAAGGGACCTGATTGACAGATACATTTGGACAGATGGCATGGTACATTTTTGTCTTACGTACGGAGTGCCAACATACAAATTCGTGTGTTTGCTGATACTGTGGTTGACTAGTTAGTTCGAAGGCCATCTTTTTGATATGTGATTCTTTAAGACAGTTTTAAATAATAAGAATTTAAAGCCAATAATATTACAAGATGCAATATTAAGATCTAGAGTTGCTGTTGCAAATGGTATGCCCATATTTCTGCCATTATCCCCCAAGTGCGACAAAATTACTTGTATCTTACAGCTTAAATCAGCCTGTCTATCTCATATAATTTAAAAGTTGACTGTTTGAATCGCTCTAATATACTGAGGTATCTACGACGAACTATATGGCACAGTGATACAAGTGCTCTCCTGTGATGCACACTCACAATCCACGGTTCTGCAACCAGCACAGAAATTATAGTTACACTCATATCTCATTTTAGAAAACCAGTTCCTATTTTTTGTACTGCCTGATAAAGGTGGTCTGTGACTTTCGAATTCCCCAGAGTTTGACTAACATTGAATCTACAGTTGAACCTGCCGCTACCTTAAGCTTCATCGGATGTTCCCCTGAGCCAGAACGCCGTTGAAGATGTCGAGGAACATCTCGGCGTGATGCGGCTGGAAGATGAGCGCAGGCCGGCACCTGATGGTCCGCTCCCCGCACCCACCTGCCTGCACACCTGTAGTATGTTAAATTATTGTTAATGTTGTTACATCACCCTTTTATCGTACCGTTTTTATTGTCCAATATGACGAATATATCTATCTGTTCATTGGAAAATGAGTGGTTAGTGTAACTGCACACATAAAACTGAAGCATCATAGGATCAATATTTGTACTCTGACCTACCTTTGTTTCTGAGGGCATAAATGAGCTTGTTTCTGACCGCCTCTGTGGGACAGTCGACTGCACAGAAGCTGCCCTGTCCACGGCTACCGTCCAACACGTCCGGGTATTTGTTCTGAGGGGCAGACAAAACGATGGTCACTCCAATGTATGTTTATATACAAGTAGCTACAAACCTATTTGTGCCTGAAGCCCACAAAAGAAGAGAATGCTGCAAAATTCGGGAACTATGATGCAAATAACTGATCATTGTATTTTATGTAATAATTGATTGCGACCCTTACCTAGGTCGTAGTTAATATGAGCGCCTTTTTGCTATTTTCTCGTGTATTCACTATGATTGTTTTTCTTTTATTTCAATAGCAATATATGTTTGATAATAATCAGTTAATGACTATAGCAATTATACCATTATTGTAGTTAATGAGGAAACCCCAGGTATACCGAAAAAGTCTCTTGTTTCTCCGGCACGTTTTCGTATTTCTACTACTGATTTTTTGTTATTTTTGTGACAAACAAACAAACAAACAAACAAACAATAACAAAATAAACCTCCAATGTCCGGAGACCCTCCAGTAGAACGTCCCCGGTCTCACGCATGTTGTCCAGCAGTCTGTCCTCTTCTATGACCCGGATGACGGCCTCTAACAAGACGAGTTTGGCAGGATCGCCCACCCAAGTGTTGATGATCCTGTATCCCTGCAGCAGGCAGAGGTAATGAGAGGAATAAGGTACTGACTTTAATATCATTTCGGCTGCTGTAATACTGCCACCTCTTTGTATAAGGAGGTTCTTTTCGAACAACCATTGTTGTCCTGAAGAAGGTGACAGACGGCCACCGAAAAGTCATGATGTTGAAACCCACTGTTCTTATACAGTCTCTTAGCAACCTGACACACATATTCACCAACACCCTTTGTTTTAGGCAAAATACACAAAACAACACTGCTGCAATATTTTACGTGAAACAACAATAAATGTGCATGTCAGAACGTCAGTGAAAGGATATCGATAATCCAAAAAGAGATTCTTTTAGAGAGGGGCCATGGAGATATGGTTACATCCAAATATGTCCAGAGTTCCTGCATATACATGTACATTTAATAGGAAGATGTTGGTTTTTAAAAGACAATACGCTCCCTACTTACCCCCTGTGGTCGAAACTCGTCCTTGTAATAATAGCCACCGATCAGCATCTTCTTAGCGAAGGTGACGAAGTCTGGCGGCTCCTCCAGTCCCCAGTGCTCGTGTGCCCACATCCTGCCGGTCAGCCCTACTCCCGTCTGCACCTCGTCAACTATCATCGCCGCGTCGTTCTGGGAATCATCACCAGGTAGATATTAGGGCAATCATGATCTACATAAAACGAAACCTTTTTCTGACGTCTTCAACACTAACATATCCTCTGGCCGCAAAGCTGGACTACCTCTCTTACGGACGAAATGTTGCCTCCCTGTACATGCCCCTTTCACAGGTGCTGTTTAAAAGAAT